CCCTTTGTAAAATACTATCTTGGATCCAAAAATATGAAGTTCTGAATACTCGTAGCAGCATTATTCATAACAGCCTTCAAGTGGAAACAACCCAAATGTTGAGTGAAAAAATAAAATGTGACATGTGACATATGTGGAATATTATTTGGCTATAAAAGTGATGAAATACCGATACAAGCTATAACACAGATGATTTTAAAAACATTATGCTAAGTAAATGAAGTCAATCACAGAAGGCACATATTATATGATTCCATTTATATGAAATTTCCAGAATAGGCAAATCTGTAGAAATAGAAAGTAGATTGCCAGTTTGCCTGGCTAATGGGTATTGGGTTTCTTTTTGGGGTGACAAAAATGGTCTAAGTTTAGATCGTGGTGACGGCTTCATTCTGTGAATATACTGAAACCATTAAATTGTACAGTTTAAATGGGTTAATTTTATTGCCTATGAATTATGTATCAAAAAGATGTTTAAAAAACAAAACAAAACAAAAATACAATGACTGGGACTAATATTCTCATGACACTAAAGGCAATTCCCTAAAATTCAGCTCCATAAATAATTTTTTAGGTTGTGAAATCAGAATAAGTAAGCAGTAAACAGAATAAATACAGGTAAATACTTTGAAGCAAAAATTCATTTTCTATGTATATATGTTCTGGCATATTAAATATAACTTTATACCCAAGACTGGCACTCTTCCAAGAACAGGGCTGAAAATGTTCCTATTTCTCCAAAAGTGACAGGTCTGTTGCCTGGAATATTTCCCCCTCTGAACAATTTCACAATTGGCTCTAGAAGTGTTTTTGAAAGTTATCCTTCTCTGCTGATGAGTAGAACTGGCTTCATTTACAAAGGATTTTAATTAATATTTGTGAATATCTAAATATAGAAGTGGCTTTGTTTTCTTGATTTATATAACTGTTTCTTTAATATTTATTTGTAGAAAAGTTATATTTCTGAAATGAAACTTATTTTGTAGTAATAAATCATTCTTTTAAGATCCTCCCCTCCAAAAGGCTGCGTTATTAAAAACTGAGAATGCCCAGTAATGTTAATGTCAGTCTCTTTGCTGTGCAATTGAATTTAGCTACAGAACGTCCATTTTGCATGCTGCCTGGACGTGTTTAGATCCTAAATTTGCAGTCCTGTTTCATGCCTGGCCACAGCATTATAGAGAGTACACAGCCCCAAATTTTCCAGTAGTGTACTTTCAAAAATGGAAGCAAAAAGAGGATCCCTGCAAAGGAGATTTTATTGTAGCAAAACTTCAGCATTTAATGTTTTTGACTAGCAATAAACTTGAGAAGCCAAGATGTCATAAACTGAAAACCTCCATTATCAATTAGAAGAATAGTTTTTCCTCTAAGTCCTGATGACCATATATAGAAATGCATAAATATAAACATGGATACTGTATATAATGCCCAATCAAAGGAAGATTTCATGCTGGATGAAAGAATCAAATGCTATAAAATACAGCCCTACTGTATAAGCAAAGTTTGGTGCGTTTATAACTACATCAGCTGTGCTGAACGCCCATCACATGTTTACCTAACAGCACTTTTGTGGCCTTTAGAATTTAAGGAGACCTCTCGGGGATGGTACCATGACCCTGGCTCTTTTATAGGAAGCTTGGACTGATACTTCTCAATGCAAGCCTTATATCTAGAAGCAATTACAAGCATTCACCATCTTTCTAGTCATCATTTCTTTTAAAAATAACTAGTATGGATTGAAATATTTAAAGACATCATTATAGACTTGAGTTGGGAAGATTTGGGGATGCAGGAAAGTCTTGATTTCTGAATTTATTTTTCACCTTTTTGGAGGCTGTCTGTCGTATCTTCCTCAACGCCTCTCCCCTGCACCCAATATTAAGCCTGGAGAGGAGAAGGAAGTTGAACAGTAGGTTGCAGGAAAAAAGGCTGATACTGTCTTCTCTTAAAATAAAAAGAGCTCACATATCCAGACTTAGAGAATGAAACAGTGGTTACTACAGAAGTGGTGGCGAGGGACAGGAAATGGGGAGATGAAGGTCAAAGAATATAAAATAGCAGATATATCTGATGAACAAGCCTAGACATCTAATGTACAACATGAGGACTAAAGTTAATGAAATTGTATTGTATTAGGGACTCTTGTTAAATAGGTAGATTTTAACTGCTTTTGTCACACAAAGAAAAGTAACTATGTGAGATGATAGATGTTGATTTACCTCATTATGAATAGTAACTATTTTACTATCTATGTGTATTCCACCCATCATGTTGTAAACCTCAAATGTACACAATACAATTTATTCAAAAAATAGTGGTAGGGGTGTTTATAGGCTTCCTGGGGTCTTCCAAGCACTAACCACCTTACTGTTGAAACCACAAAGAGGTCAGTGAAAGCTCTGAGACCTGAAGGGCATGTGGATTCAGCTGCCACTAGCTGTGAGTCACACATTGTCACAGCATGGGGCTGCAGAGTCACACATTGTCACAGCATGGGGCTGCAGTCGATTCATGGAAATGGTAGAAATTAATAAAAACTTGATAAAGGTATCCATAAATCAATACATCATCTGAATTGTTGATTGGAAAACTGCAAACTCCTTCTCTGTCATTTATTTTAAAAGCACAGGCACTAAGAAGAAGCAAGTTTGTCATCAATATAAATGACAACTCCTGAAGATCTACATTGGCCTCCACTTCACTGTGGATTCAGGACAGTGGTGGTGTGAATCCAAATTATCAGAATTATTTGCATCCATAAACTCTAATCCATCAAATCACTGTACCTGTCTTTATTCACCCACTTTTGACTCTGTTTACTTATTTACACAATTGAGGTCAAGGCACCTGCTTTCCACCTCCTAGATGCAACCAGTTTTTATGCCCTGGAGAACTGGAAGCTTTTGAAATAACTGAAATAAGGTATTTTAAAATAAGCACACAGTTCAGTGGAGAGAAAGAGTGGTTTGGATTACTTAAATGAATTTGAAAATTGGTTTTGCTACTTGCGTTTTTATATCCTTGTCCCTGAAAATCTTAGGCGCTGCTGAAATTCAATGGAATAGACTTGATATTAAAAACAAAACACTAAAACCAAAATAACAGAAATGCTGGCCTTTGGTTTAGAGGATGGATGTCATAGCAACTGTTCTTCCCTTCCTCCCAGATTGCCTTCCCAGATTCTTACAGATCCCCTGCCCCAACTGTGCATCCTGATGAAACTTGGAAAACTGTGATCCAGAAGGTTCACACAGTGGTAAAGCAATTACTACCCTAAGACAGCCACGGAATCCATTGTGCACTTCTTGAACTTAATCAAGCCATTTCGGGCTAACTCTCAGTCTAGAAACTTGGTGTTTGCAGACCTTCTAGGAGGATGGGTAGAGTCCAACTTCCTTTTGTGTTTTGATATTGCTTTAATGCTCATCGTTTTTTCTCCTTTACTTTAGAGACCTCATTCATCCAGTGTAGGGCCGTCTTACTATCTCCAGTTCCCCATCTCATTTTTACTGACAACTCACTTTATATCACTCAGTTTTATATATTTATTGGAACTAGGAAATGAACTTAATCTCACACTTTCCAAAAATCTACTGTGGTCATGGAGATCAGGGCCAAAGTGGTTGGGGCTGTGTATGCCTGAAAGTAGCCTGCATTATTCTTTGACCACTAATGACTCCTCCAGATCAAGTAGCTCATGTCCAGCGTTTGAATTTTCCCAGAAAATTCCCCAGTCTACCTGTCAGGGATAATCAGGGATGTCTCCTAATGCCTGTTATGCAGTCTGTCCAGGGTGCTTGAATTCCTGCAGCTGCTCCAGTGGCAGAGAGAAAATCCAGCAAGTGAAAAAGACCAAAGCCCAGCAGCATATGACTGAAGTTCCCTAATGCAGAACCATTTTGTCATGACTTTTATCAGCTTTCCATTTTTAAGTTCGAAACTGAACAGAGTTTTGGTTCTATTGTATTCTTTCTTTGTGATGGTTTTAAAGACTGGTACAATACCACTGAATCAAGTGTAGGTTTCAGAGTAGAGGTGGACATGGGAGATCATCTGCTCTGACTCCTCATTTAGAAACGAGGCAATGAAAACACACCCAAGGTAGCGAGTGAGCAAAAGCTAGTTCCAGAAACGCAGGTGCCCTAGCACCCAGCTGTATATTTTTTTATTCTCTCTCTCAGCCTCAGACCATGTCTACTAAGTGTGATGACGCTTACCAAAGAAAAGAAAGAAAAAGGAGGAAGAAAGAAGTAATTTAAATAAAGTAGAAATGCTATTTTGTTCAAACTGTGGGCAAATGTTTTTCTGTTGGAGATCTTAAAAGCATTTCTGTTCATATAAAAGCAAATTCAGATGAAGGGGTAGCATGCAGGAGGGAGATCTTTGTTGCAGTAGAATGTTTCTGTATTTTGATTGTCGTGGTGTGTGATAAATGGCATGGAACAATACCTACTCATTGTCCGTTTCCTGGTTTTGTTAATGTGCTATAGTTTAGTAAGATGTAACCACTGGGAAAAACTGGGTGGAGGTAGCCCAGGACCTCTCTATACTATTTTTGCTATTTCCTGTGAATCAATCATGTTTACAAAATACTTTAAAAAAAAACAAACTTGAGATTCCCTATGATTTTGTCTAAGTAAGACTAGGGTTATGATCTTCTGAACAGGTGATAAAGTGAGCAAACATAGCTTTACTCAAGTATTAGTTACATCATGAAAAAATATAAAGAAAGAAAAGTTTTCACTTTCCCCTTATGGTAGAAATGGCTCCAAAGAATCTAGTAGACCCGTTTGGGCCTACCACCTTGTAACCTCCTTTTTATGGGCAACTAAAAGTGTGACATATCTATTCTGCCAGTGTGAATCAATGTTTGTAAACTGAGTGGATATTTTGATACTATATTGATGTATGCTGATATCGTACTTGGTAAAATGCCTTTTGAAATAAAATGTTGTTAAGATAGTTTTCTTATTTAAATTTTATTTTTTAAATTTTAGTTATTGAATCAAAAACACTTCAAGGAACCAAAGGAGAACACAGCTTTAACAGCTCTGGAGTCTTTGTTGTAGAAAACACAACAGTTGAATTTCAGAGGGTCTCAGACAGGAAAACCTTTAAGATTCCAGGACCTCTGATGGCTGATTTCATCTTCAAGGTAGGTTGATGATACCCTCCGTAAGCCATGCATCTGAAGCCCAGAACATTTTGATTTTTAAAGCAATAAGTTTATTCAGCAGGAGGTCATCAATGATTGTTTTTATGTGGCATATGTATCATTAATATTTCCAGTCCATTACTAAAAATTGTTGGCAGTCCATTGCTAAAAATTATACATCTCTGTCAAGTTTCTGCTCCTACACCTGGATAGTTAAGAACCACACTTCCTGTGCTAGTGTGCTGCTTGGGAAGCGCAGAGGCGCTCCCGCCGAGGGTTCGGATCCCACATACAGACCGGTTCCCGCTCACTGGCTGAGCGAGGCGCGGGGGCAACGCCGAGAGTTGCGATCCCGTTGCCGGTCCCGGTCCGGTACAGGGGCGACACTGAGGGTTGCGATCCGTTGCCGGACACGGAAAAAGACAAAAAAAAAAAAAAAAAAAAAAAGAACCACTCTTCACGGGG